TCTCTGTAAACCGCTTAGAGAGGGCTGAAAGCCCTATGAAGCGGTATATAAGTCTACTGCTATTGCTATTGCTATTGCTATAACTGGCCACGTCATTATTCCCACATGAATCAATAAGTCAGACAGAACTTTGAAAATAAAAGTGATTTCCTGTTCTTAACACTTTCATTGGCACACACAATAAATACTTCTGCTTTGACATTCGTTGAATGTTAATATTGAAGGTTTCTCCTCCGTACTTTTGCACTACAAAGACTAAAACCTCAAACATAAGATCTTAACATCCCATATCAATCAACGAACGACCTTGCCTAAAAACCCTCTTATCTCAAGGATAAAAAAAAGTATTGTATTTCCTCTGGGACCATAGTTTTAATGCTAAGTTAATAGCTAGTTTTTGTTTTGTTTCCCAAATAAATTTATTAACGATTCTTTGTCAATCTCACAAAAGTTTGTCTGGGACTAAAAGTAGCTCCATTTGAATTTTTTTTTAAATACCTTGGGTAATCATTTTAATAAGTATAACTGATATTAACCCAAGACAGTTTTAAATTTTTCTGCCTTTCAAAATATTGAATTTCTCTCTACAATTTGGTGTTACTATTTTCAAATGAATCTTTAATTGTCTGTCAAATATAGTCCCAAATGTTTTGTTGAATCTTTTATTTAGTGACAACCTGACTCTTTCTGCACAAAGCTTTCTTTTTCTTGGAATAAGTGTCTTATCTTTATATTTACACACTCATATTATATCTTCAGAATTTACTGAAAGTTTTCTTTTAGTTAGCTGTTTATTGCATTTTGAAGCAACATCATGATGAAGAATGCATTGTCTACATAGCATTTTGATAAAAGAATGAATTTGGTTCTATAAATATACTAAACTAATTGATGGATTTTACATTTTATAATTGTGAACTTTTATTTGTTGATTTTTTTTTCTTTATCCAGTGCTCTTTCCTCTTTGTTCTCTATTGCAGTCGCTATTTATTCTGATCCTTAAATGGTTTAACAAAGAGATTATTAAACATTAAAAAGTCAGGCTATTGGTCTATTTAGTTCACTATATGGATGATGACTGATATTCCAGACAGAAGTTTTTCCAACTGTTCCTGGGGTTGCTGGCATTGAACCAGAAAGCTTCTACATAGCACATTCACTTTACTATTGCACTGTATCTCTTGGATAAAAAAAATAAGTAAATAAGAAAACTTGTGTAAGGTTTATGCACAAGCCACCAGACAGCTCAGTTTAACAGAACCCCAACAAGCAAGTATGCTATAACATCTCTATAATCTATAGGAATAAAAGGTTTGAAGTATCCTTTTCAGAATGTTTGCATTATACTTTGCATTATAAGTTATATCCATCTGTCTTTTCTTAACTCTGCCTAAAAAATATTCTGTTTTTCCCCTTTCTTAAAATGTATCTTTTTTAACTCTCTGTATGTATGTGTGTGTGTGTGTGTGTNACAATTATGACAAATCACAGCTTGAACTATCTTGCTTTGTATGTAATGAGTCTATCTCATATATTAGTTTCATCTTTTAAGTTGCATTACTGAAATAAATGAACTTTTGTATGATATTCCAATTTTTCGAGTTTTACCTGTAATTGCTTGACATATAATCTGTCCTTTTAAAAAAAACAACCCATGCATCATGTTCTATTGTAGCAAGTAAAAAACATAACTGCTTTTTCTAAAAGTTGGAATGTAAGTTTCCCCCTGAGATACCATGTAGGTCTAGGAAGCTGGGGAAAAAGTCACTTTAAAAGTTCATTTTATTATATATTTTTCAAGAGCTGGATGCAGGAAGAGATGTCTCTATTCTCATGGACACATAAAACATACAGGGATAAGAACAATCTTGGTAAGCAGTGAATCCAAAGAAAGCTGTTTCATTAAGAGTCTGTCTCGGTCCTCTTTAACAGATTTCAATCTGGATATTGTAAGTTGTTGCAATTGGCTCTGCTGGATGTGGACTGAAATGAATAAAGATCTTCAGGAGACACCATAATACATATTTGCATGGTTGTTGTTTTCTTTGTTGAACAGCCACCTGAGAGGAAGGAGACAGACCTGAATCGAGCCTTAGGACACAAAGGAAGAAGAGTTTTACAAATGTTGCTATGCTCATCCCTACAAATAAACATCTGGTGTACATCCTATAAGGCTTAATGCTCTGTCACTCAGGAGAAGCTCTGTCCCATTGCAAGGAGGTGGTGTCATGGCTGACAAGACTGTTGTCTTCAGAATTAAAGAGGTAAATAGCTTCCTGAGATTCAATTATTTTGCAGCCCAAAACAATCAAGCAGCAAAACATAAAGAGAGTTTCACTGCCCCAGAAAGGAGGCATTCTCGGAGTTCTGGAAGTAAAAGCATTGTTGTAAACTTGAGGCAGAGAACTCCTCTGTTGGTTCTCTGTTGTAAATATGTTGATTTATAGAGGGGGAAAAATGGTAATGACTGGAAGTGCCCTCAGCCTTTTTTCTTTTCATTCCCACCACCACCTGTGCCCCCCTCACTTCCCTTTTCTTTCTTTGTTTAAAGCAAACACAACAACTCTATGCAATTGTTTGGGTCACTGAATATGACAATTGTGCACCTGGACAATCCATGCTGGAAAAGCCACATGGTGTGTGAGTGTGTGTATGTATTTGTGTGTGGGAGGAGACCAGGCAGAGATAGGAACAAACACCGCACTGTGTTGCAAATTGCCTCCCCCTCCCTTCTATGGGTAGTTTGAGGTTTTAATTGTGTAGCTCTTGATGCGATGTATTTTCATCAGCCCCAAGTTTTTTCTGGAAAATTGATTATACAGTTTGCACAATCTCCAATGCTATTTTTATTAATGCATTCAATTTAGATATTACAGTAGAAAACAGCACACAACACATGTCATTTAAGGTACAAAAGTAGATTGGCACCCTTTAAGTTCAAATAAAACCAAACCTACAGCAGTTAAGGTATTATTTTATCTAGATTAATTCTATCCCTTGAAATACACATTGCAGGGGGGAAAATTATTTTAGTGCCACTAAAAAATGGGGGAGGGATTATGTGTCCATAATGGATTGTTATATTTATAAATATTTTTACCTATTTATCAATATGGAATAATGGAAGGTAAAATTAGATTTACACACACTATTACACACACTATTTTTCCAACGAGCAATCTCAGATTAACATACAAGGGTGTGTTAGAAGATTATTGATATGTCAAAATGAATTGCAGTGAGTTTTTAAAAAATTAGTACATCTCTTTTTCTCCTTTCAGATTTTGTCAGAATATTTATTCAATTCCACGCTTTTATAATAACTCAAGTGTATTTTGCACATTCTACAACACATTCCAATCTATATGAACTTCACATATATTCTTCCTATTTTTTATGTGCAATTGGATTTTGTTTTCAAACTCTACCATTGTACTCCCATTTGCAGTACAATTCTTCCCAGCAAGCATCCACACAAGAGGATTGGGAAATGTGTATAACTTCTCAGATTTGTCTGGCCCAGTCTAGCACCTTCAAAATGTGTTGGACTGCAGCATTCAGAATTCCTGTCTAGGTTGGTTGTAGTCCTGACACATCACAAAGTTGCAAAAAGTTGAATGGACATTCAGAGTGTCTCCAATGTTAATGGAAGAAAGGAAAGGAAACTATCAAAAAAGGCCAGAGAAATTTACATGCAAACAAAGCTCAGAGCTAATCAGGGATCGTAGCAAACAATACGCTTCTGTTGAGAAATCAATTAACATTGATGGCTAGGGAAATCCTATTATACTTCAGAATTTATAACCATAACTCATATCTATTTTAAAGGGAACACATTTGAATTTGTTACCATGAGAATTGGAAAGTTCCCTTGACATTTAGCAATAGCACTTAAGACTTATACTCTACAGTGCTTTACAGCATTCTTTGAGTGGTTTACAAATGTTAGCATATTGCTCTCAGCAATCTGGCTCCTCATTTTACTGACCTTGGAAGGATGGAAGGCTGAGTCAAACTTGAGCTGGTCAAGGTTGAACTCCTGGTTATGGGTAGAGGTAGCCTGCAATACTATCAACAGGGTTGACAACTGCATTCTAACCACTATGCCATCATGGCTCCTACATTTGCCCCAAATATAGACATACTAGAAATTTATCACAGTTGCAATTTTGTTATGGGAATGTTTGACATTTGTTGGAAGTTTACATCCAGCTATATTAAAAAATGGGCATGAGGATTAGGGAGTGGCATAATGTTCCTTTTTTTTTTTTTTGTTCCATGTATCTGCAACCAGTCTTGCCTGACCAAGTGAAGAACCGGATGTTGCCTAAATTTCTAAATAAGAATTGTGGTGAATGAACCATCCTACTCAAGAAAGATGGTGAGTAGCATATGATATAATGTCTATACTCAACTCAAAGCTCTTTCCAGTTAGCCTTTTAGCACCTTCAAAGATATGATCTCTTGAAAGAGACAGAAATGAACTCTGGAACCAATACATTTGATTCTTGACACATAACCAGGGGTGGGCTGCTGGGGGTTCACATGGGTTTAGGTGATCCTTTAGTTAGGATTCTGCCCAGTTTGGCGAACTCCCAAATGCCACCCCTGGCTGATCACGCCCCCGCCTCTCCCAGGAGTCTCCATGCGGCTTGTTCATCATGCCAGGTTAGTGCAGGGCCCATGTGGAGGCTCAGGGAGAGGGGGAAACGGGCCTACTGTAGGTTCCGGGAGTCCAGAAACAAGCATGTTTCCAGCCTCCAGAGGGCCTCTGGAGCCGAGGGGAAAACGTTTTCACCCTCCCGGAGGCTCAAGGAAGACCTCTAGAGCCCAGGGAGGGCAAAAAATGCCCCCATCCTGCTGTGATGCAGGAGGCTGACTAGGCCACACCCACCATGACACACCCACCCAGCAACAGGGCAGAAAACCCATTGCTGCAATTTTTGAAGCCCACCCCTGCACATAGCCATTGCATCACAAACACAGGAGAGCAAGACAAGACAGAATGGCAAGCAGAAAACAAAATCCTGTATCACGTTTGAACCCTTTTCTCACATAGGAATTTTTGCAAATGGGCCAAACAACTATCCGTTTATAAGTTCCATCAACACTTCCAACTGCCTGAAAATAAAACTGTTTTATCATATAGAGAGCCAAGTAAGTGTCTGTCAGTTGTGTTTACAGTTTTGTGGAGCATATATAACTGTATGCTTTGCCCTTCCTGCAGTTTTTTCTTTGCCATTTTCCTTGCTGTTGTGCTAAAATGCAGTTTCTCCTTTGCTTTGAAAGCCGAGGTGGGCCTCTTCTCCAGTTTGTGAAAATGACATGTTCTCTGTTGCTCCATTCCAGCTGACCTGGGTTTCGCTGATCATTCAAACCTATAACACATTACTTGTATAAAAAGACAACCTGAGAACAACCGATTCAAGCATTTTAATGAAGTTTTATTGGTGTTATCTGATCTTCTAATAATTTTCAAATTCCCACCCCCCTTCCACAATAAATTTGCTCCATGGACAAGGAAGATTACATTTTGTTGTGAAAATAGATTCTGCTGGTATTTAGACTAGAAAAATGTCTGAAGATTTAGTTGCTGTAAGCAGGGAACTGCTGCAACTGATCACATCTATTGATTTCTGGTTGGTGTCTTTCTACCATGTTACTGAGAACCCTTCTTCCATTAGCTTTTAGGACACAAAGGAAAAGTTCCAGAAAAATGTTTCATTACCAAGATAGATAACATCATAAGTGGATGATGTTATCTTCATATAGGGAGTGGAAGTTTGTTCTCATTTTATAAACTTGCCCCATCGGTGTTGGTGGGAGAATGGCGGTAGTTTGTAGAGTGGTCAAATTACTGTGTCCCAAGAGCAGGAATGTAAGTCAGAAAACTGAGCAGCCAGAAATGTATATTTCCCAACCTCTCAGAAAGACATAGATAGACTAATAGGTATTGCTTATGAAAATATTTCATCATGTGTACTTGCATGTACAGTACCGTGTTTCCCCCAAAATACGACATGTCCTCATAATACAGCCATGCCACATTTTTCTGGTGGGCAAAAATATAAGCCCCCTCATATATAAGCCCCCTGGACAACCCCCCACCTCCGGCCAGGCAGAGCATCATCAAAGGTGATCGTGTTGCTTGGCGCTTTCGAGACACCGCTAGGTTGGTGAGCAGTGCTGTGCCCAGCTGCAGAGGAGGTTTGCTGGGTGGCTGCTCTCTTGCGAGTGGGCTCCCAAAGAGCCGGGCACAGTGTCATGGGCAAATGGCTGTGTTGTGCTCTACAGTGGCCGCTCTGGGCACACGCTCTATGGTTGTGGGCCAGTTGCCTGCAGAGCATACAACCATAGAGCATGCGCTCAGAGCGGCCACTGCTGAAAGACTTGGGTTGGAAGCAGCGGAAAAAGCCAGGCTGGGATGGCGGTGGCGGAGGTGCCCTGGCTCCGTAATGAGAACTGGGCCATGCATCATGAGGCTGGGAGGCGGGTGAGCGAGAGCCGAACAGCTGCTCGTGCAACCCCCCTCTCCAGCCGTGCAGAGCGCCATTCACTGGCATTTGGAAGGCGCCAAGCCGCGGGACCCAGGCGGCGACGAACAGGCGCTCACACGGCTTGGCAATACCCCTAGGTCAGTGAATAGCACTGTGCCCGGCTGCAAAGGGGGTTTGCCGGGTGGCTGTTCATGAGTGTGGTCGCTTCATAGCTGTTGTGTTGCGCTGCTGCGACAGTGCAACACAGCCATTCGCCCATGAGGCTGTGCCTGGCTCTTTGGGAGCCTGCTCGCAAGAGAGCAGCCACCCAGCAACCCCAAAACAATAAACCCTCCCCCCATAATAAAGCCGAAGAAAAGAAAATAAGACCCTGTCTTATTTTCGGGAAAACACAGTATCACCAACATAAATATTGAACTCTAAAATATTATGGAACAATATTTAATATTTGTTGCTATATCAGTAGAATTATAGTCACGATCAAAGGACATCACTGTTTATTGATCATTCGTCAGACCACACCTAGAATGCTGTGCCAAATTCTGCACACTGCATTTTGGGAGAGATAGTGGGAAATTGGTGTACATTCAAAGCAAAACAACCAACATTATAAGAGTCAGTGGTAGGATTCAATTTTTTTTACTACCGGTTCTATAGGCGTGGTTTGGTGGGCGTGGCAAGGGAAGTATACTGTAAAATCTCCATTCCCTCCCCACTCCAGGGGAAGGTAAATACCACCTCTGACTGGCCCAGCCCCCATCTATTCTCTGCCTCCATTCCCTCCCGATCAGCTGCAACTCAGGAGGCAGAGAATAGATGGGGGCTGGGCCAGTCAGAGGTGGTATTTACCGGTTCTCCGAACTCTTCAAAATTTCTGCTACCGGTTCTGCAGAACAAGTCAGAACCTGCTGAATACCACCTCTGATAAGAGTCCTGAAGGGGAAAATGGTTAACGTATTTATTGGCTATATTTAACTTGGAAAAAAGAAGGCTGTGGGAAGGGATGACAGCCATTTTCAAGGGCCCTCATTTAGAAGATAGCCAAATTGTTCAGAGATGATCCAAAGTAACAATGGATTTAAAAAACTGGGAAACGAATTTTCCTTGAACTTCAGGGGAAAAAAACTCCGATGGTAAGAGCTATCCCACAATGGGACGGATGGTGGTAGCGTGTTCTCCTTTGCTGGACATGAAATGGCTCTCTGTTATGGATTCTTAAAGGTACTCGACTTATGACCACAATCGACACCAGAATTTCTGTTGCTAAGCAAATTAGTTGATCATGTGATCATGAGGATGCTGCAATGGTCATAAGTCCAAGGACCAGTTGTAAGACCCTTTTGGGGGACTTCTAACTTTGTAATGGTCACTAAATAAATGGTTGTAAGGAGAGGACTAGCTCTGGTGGATTCCTCACATTGTAGAATTCTGCATCTTTCATAGGGAAATTTCAGACAATTGTAAGAATACCTACCTATCCAAAAAGGTCTTTTTCCACTGAAGTTCCAGAGCCAGTGCATGTGTGATTTGGAAGCCACACTTATTAAATGGCCTTGGTACCTGGAAATAAGATATTTTTTTAAAAAACCAGAGGAGATATAGTACCTGCTACTCATCAAGATTTTTTTTCTTTATATAACCTTGTAATCCTTTAATCTAGGATACAGTCGAGCCAACTGTAAGGAGCTGAGCTTTTACAGACCAGATGCCTTTCCTGATGCCTATGTTGAGTTCACAGCAGATATTTTCTCTTTGCACCCTGAGAGAAAAACATATGTTGCTACCTAGGACTGAACTCTCAACCTTCCAAGTGGGAGGGGGCCATCTTCACCACTAGGCCACCACACTATTCACTCATCAAGATATAATAAATGCACTAATTACTTGCAGTTTACAATAAACACCAAGACTGGGAGTCATTAGTAAGAGTTTTAGGAATTCTTTTTGAAAGGGTATTTTGAAAAAGTTTTCTGCATGCCTTTTTATCTACAAATACATTTATATGTATAAGCAGCAAACATTTTATTTCATCTAGGCATGCTGAAATTTTAATATGCTCTACAGGTAGTCCTAGACTTATGACCATAATTGAGCCTGGAATTATGACCGTAAGTCATTGCACTCATTAAGTAGGCCACCATGGTACCGTGCCCAATTTTATGACCTTTTCCGTGGCAGTCGTTAAGAAGATAATAAGGTCATTAAGTAAATCTGTTTTATCTAATGGATAAAAGTAAATGTCAGAAATCAGCAAAAAAAGAGGAAAAATCACAATCATGTGCTCATAGATCACTGAAAATAGCTGTACGGATGAGCCAGTTGTCAAGGACCCCAAATGAAATTATGTGTCTAAGGGGGAGGGAGGGGTGTGGCTATTAGAACTTCAAAATCAGGTCGTAAGTCACATTACGAAAAGTTTAGAAGCAAGGCAACGATGAACTCTAGTCCTGCCTTAGCCATGAATAACCAGCTGGGTAACCTTGGGCCAGTCATTCTCTCAGCCGGGTCTATCTCACGTTTTGTTTTTGTGGGGGAAATAGGAAGAGGAAGAAAGAGTATTATGTATGTTCACCACTTTGAGTTACTAATAAAGTAATAAAGGCAGGATAAATGTCGAATGAATGAATGAATGAATGAATGAATGAATGAATGAGGGAGGGAGGGAGGGAAGGAAGGAAGGAAGGAAGGAAGGAAGGAAGGAAGGAAGGAAGGTAGGTAGGTAGGTAGGTAGGTAGGTAGGTAGGTAGGTAGGTAGGTACAAATAAGGTTGTTCCTACCGTGTCTTGCAAGTTTGGGCAGCAACTGCCCATGTGGTTTTTGGCTCAGTGATTAGGATATAGCATCTTCCATCATGATAGGTCCATCCTGACTGACAAGTTTTCATTTTAATATCCTGGAATAAAGCAATATTTTTTAGTTCAGAGTGATTTGTTAAATTGTCCACCTTGAAAGACGTGATTAACTCCTTTCCGTTTTGGGCTTCAGAAAGATAAGAACATTGATTAATTGGGTTATTTCTGTTCTAAATTATGAATTTGGCTACTATTGCATTTCTGATGACATCCGGCTATAAATGAAACACAAACACTGCCTATTGCTTGGCAATAATAAGCATTCCTGAATACAGTATCACTCAAAAAGCTTATTTATTCTTTCCCTTCCTGTAACATGTGGGGAAGGATTTTTTATTATTATAATAATATATGCCTTCTACACGCTCATAACTGGGTCACTGAAGATACCTGGCTATCTCTGTCTTTGCTTGTTCTTGTAATGTACATTCAATATATCTAACCACAATAACTTACTTGCTGCACCATCTTCCTTATAGCATGCCACAACTGCTCCCTCATGACATATATTTTTCTGGAGTTATAATTTTTGTTGTATCAATGACTGGCCTTCAATTCACAATGTTTTCATAAATTTCAGTACAGGTAATTCTCGACTTATGACCAGAATTGAGCCCAACTATTTCTGTTGTTAAGTAACACACATTTGTTAATTGAGTTTTGTCCCATTTCACGAACTTTCTTGCCACAGTTGTTAAGTGAATCACTGCGGTTGATAAGTTAGTAACCCCGTTGTTAAATGAATCTGAGTTCTCCATTGACTTTGCTTGTCAGAAGGTCGCAAAAGGGGATGGCATGACCCCAGGACACTGCAACCGTCATAAATATGAATCAGTTGCCAAGTGTCTGAATTTGGTCACATGACTATGGGGATACTGCAATGGTTGTAAGTGTGAAAAAGTGTCATGTCACTTTTTTCAGTGCTGTTTTAATTTTGAACGGTGACTAAATGAACCATTGTAAATCGAGGACTACCTGCATTCTCAAGCATTCTGATAATGAGTGCATTTACATTTTTCTCCCTTCAAAGTTGGATGTTGGGATCAAACCAGTGGTGGGATTCAGCCAGTTTGCACCTATTCNAACCAGTGGTGGGATTCAGCCAGTTTGCACCTATTCTGGAGAACCGGTTGTTAACTTTCTAAGCAGTTCGGAGAACCAGTTGCTGGAAGAAATCTCCTTTTGTTTTTTCCCCACTTTACACGGCTAATCCTGTAAGGAAGGCAGGATGGAAACATTCTAGTGTTGTTTCTAGCTTAATCTTTATTGCCCTGCTTACAGAAACTGCCTCTCTGGTTAGCCCTTATTACATTGTAACAGCTAAGGCGAAGCGCCCATCAACCTGAGTGACATTGGGTTGGCCACGCCCATATGGTCACATGACCACTGAGCCAAACCTACCCAGCTGGTCATCAGGGCAGAGAACCGGTTGTTAAATTATTTGAATTCCACCAGTGGATTAAACTGTTACAATAACATTTGGCTTTATATTTCTCAAAAGTTAAGCACCCTGAGTACAAGGTGTTCTCTTTCCAGACATAGGGATAACCAGATTCCTTTCTGCCCTCATCTGTATTCCCTATCAGTTGTAAAACTTTTTTTTTTTTGCCAGTGGTAAATTTAGAAGAAAAAATAAAACACACACACAGAGGAAAAAGAGATGCCTACCTTGGTTGAGTAGTTCCATGATGTCCAGGCAGTACCATTACACAGAAACATCTTCTGTATGCTTTCTTCAAAATACAAGAGACCCTTCAAATTTGGTGTGCATCTATTTGGAAATGAAATGCTGTCAACCTGAAAATGAGTAACACCTTTATGAAGTAAACAACAGTTATAAATGAGTGTTCTGAAACAGAACACTTGAGATATTGACGTTGTGTATTATTTATTGTTTATTTTAAAAATTATGTTTATGTATTTTGGTTGATAGATGTTAAATCAGTGACATCATTGAAGAAATTCATTGTTTTAAAACCTCTTTCAGAATTAAGTGTACAATATTGCCAGGCCCCAAACCAAGAATGGTGATTCCTCCAAGCTAAGTTCTTTATTGTTTTCACATTTGTAGACGGATTGAGTACTCTACCAGCTGCATATACCATGTATACTCTGTGAACAATTAAGGAAGGTCTGTCTTCACCCCCTTTCTTTCACATATAAGATCTGGGCAGAGTTGCCTCTTACTCCTTTTTGAATTCACCCACTCCCTCTTGGGGATCCACTTGCTTACTAGATTCCATCACAAAACTTTCCTATAGCTTTACTTTTTATTATTGTCATAATAAATCAATGACAAGAATTAATAATAATAAACAGCTACTAAATGTGAAATGGCCAAACTTCAGGTTTTTAAAATATTTCAAAATTCGCCAGAGAGATGGAACCCTACTTTTCTCTGGCTGTATCACCATCCCTCACCATTGGACAAGTCTACTCTAAAACTTCTGGGAACTTTAATTCTGGAAGGTGACATCTTCCCTAACAGGAACATACCAGAATGCTGGAGTCTGCTTGAAGAACTTCCATTTTCTTGGAGGAAGCTACATTTTTTTTTGGCTCTTTTTGGCTTCTTAAAGATATGGGTCCCAACTTGGTTTTTCTAGGCAAAGAATTGTCTTCATCTACTTTTAGCCCTGTCATCCCATGGTACTTTGTAAGAGATAGAAAAGAGAATTTGATATCAGTTAATTCCAAAGGCATTTAATTCACAGAACTACAGTGTTTCCCCGAAAATAAGACAGTCTTATTTTCTTTTGACCCCCGAAATAAGCACTTGGCCTTATTTTTGGGGAAGTCTTATTATTTTTGAGGTGCAGGAGGCGGCGAGCATAGTCATCTCACAGCTGCTGTTGTGTTGCCATATTTTCAGGGAGGGATTATTTTCTGGGGAGGGGTTATTTTAGCGCATGTGTTCCAAAGCCCAATTGGGATTATTATCCAGGGAGACCTTATTTTTGGGAATGTCTTATTATTTTTGAGGTGCAGGAGGCGGTGAACTTGGTCACCTCATGGCTGCTGTTGTGTTGTAGTATTTTCGGGGAGGGATTATTTTCGGGGGAACGATTATTTTAGCACATGAGTTCAAAAGCCCAATTGGGCTCATTATCCAGAAAAGTCTTATTTTCAGGGAAACAAGGTAAAAAGAAAGAGAGAGATATATAGTTTGGATATACAAATATTAAAGTCACAAAAGTACCCGATATCTGTGGGAATAATATTTAAAGTATGAACAAATGAAACATGCAAAGTGATAGATCTTCCTATCTTCTTTTTCTCTATTTTCACATGATTTGTTTCCAATACTATATTCTGGCTAGGGAAGCTTATTGGGGATATGAGGGTAAATGAAAAAATGAGCATGGAAAGCATTATTCCACTCGTCATTCACAAACATATTTTGCACTAAAACAGTTCTTCTTAGTTCTCCTTGCGTTTGCTTTAAGATTAAGCCTATGTGCTCAACTTCACCTTATTTCACACCTTGTGAAACATTGACCAAGGCAGTTTAAATAGTTGCCATCACCATTTCTAAGCCAACTAAACTGAAAATACATAGAATTAAATCTATACTAAAGACTTTTTACATCATAGAAAATGATGTGTATCTTGAACTCATCAAGTATTCTATGTAATGAGGCTATAAATAAATATTACAAATAAGGAACTTGTTTTACAAAAATGCCCTTACTTTGAAAAACTCTTCTGTGCCATTTCGAAAAATAAAAGAGGGATGAATCTGAAAGGAAAGGGAGAAGTATAGCTGAGTAACAGAAGCAAAATTTAATTTGTATATTTTCCTAAGGTAGTTAGTAGTATTCACCATAGTTAGAACGTAATACAAAACTTTAGTCTATATCATTTGAATAATTGGCGGAAAGAGAGAGATCTTTTGAATTACAAATACGAAATTCACCCAGAAAAATAGAACCTTTTATTATAAACAAATGGACATTAGTCAACTTTACCTAACTTTCTTTCTCTGATTCTAATTTATTCATTTTCTACTCTTGGCTTTCTATTATACAGTTCTTGGAGCAATTTCCCATTCCAAAGAGAGCAAAGGAAATGAAAGCAAACAAATCAGCCTTATAACTTATATCTGAATATATATATTTTGGCCACAATATGCCAATATATAAAAGAGAAAATATTTTACAATCCCAACAGAATGAAACATTTTTGAAAAATATTTTTTAGTTTATCTGAGCATTATCATTTTTTCAATTTTTGACCCCTAGGGAGAATATTTCTTTCTTGATTCTATAGGGGGAAAAAACACATAATGAAGATGGAGAATTTAAGCTGGCATTGCAGGGGAATCCTTCTCTAAAATGTACATTACTATTTCTGATTAAATTATTTTATCATGCTTCAGAAAATAGTGAAATCTGTTTGACTTAATAGAGTATTTTAATAAAGTTCATATAGCAGAACTGCCTTTAAGCTAAAGTCAAGTAGACAGTTACCTGCTAGTATGCTAAAACTTTAGGGTGTGCCAAAATTGTATTCCGAAAAACACAATAAAAAAGCAAAAGAAACAGCGCTCAATGTTAAGGTAATGCACTCACTCAAGAGTAAAAATATAATTTTGCAGAATTGTTGCCATATGACAAAAATAGCTGGTGATGTAATTGAGAATACTGTGTAAATAGGGTAAAAATATCTGAGGAACAAATTGGGACTGGAAAATCTTAAGTGTAAGACTCATAGAAAAAAAAAGAAACAAGAGGTCAAAATCAGGCAATGAGCTAAACCATAGGAGGGGCCAGAATATGTTTTGCCTCGGGCATCAAAATGCATATAGCTGGCCCTGCACACTAGTGACAATACAGATAGTCCTTGACTGGTCACTTGGCAACCATTTGAAGTTACAACTGATCCAAAGAAGAGTGCTTATGAACCAGATTCTAAGTTCTGACAGCTCAAGGATTACCTGTAACCTTAAATCATATCTCAAAATGCCTTTTTTCAGTCTCATCAGCAGTCAGTCTCATTTTTAATAAATCAGATGAGATTTTCATGAAAACATATATATAACTTTCCCCCTGTTTATGAGGCAACACTTACTACTTTGCCATTTCCGATGACCCGTAGCCGGTTCCTCGCAAGATTCACTGAGCTGAATTTGGCTGGCTTGTCTCGTCGCTGTGTTATCATCTCTTTGGAAAGGGGCAGCGGGATTCCTTCCAAATTAACACTACTGTGCCTGGAAGATGAAGGAGAACCTGGAAGCGGTCTTTCTTTCATCCACAAGTTCTGAATATTTTGGCTTGGGGAACGGAATGAATTGCACTGACCTAAAAAAGCAAACAAGATGGCAGATGGTCAGTCTTTTTTTTAAAAAAATAAAAAAATAAAAGCTGAGAATTGGTCACATTGATATGGATGATGAAACAGCTTGTCATTAAAAATGGGATAGTTCATTTAGTTCTTTTAAATAATCCTTATTTCTCTGCTTAATTTGAAAACTGAAAAACAATTTTAGAAGTTTGATGTGAGAGATGAAAATATAATTACTCATAATTAAAAAAAAAGTTAAAAAAAAACTTCTTGTGCCCAAACTTGTGGGCATAAACCCCACATTTAAACTTTAGCAACAGTATAATCAGAAAAATACTGTACCTCTTTTTAACTTTTTTTTAAAATCTGGCCTTTCCTCCTGGAGTGTCAGTTTTACTCTTCCCATCTGTTTGATTCACAGAACTTCACAACTTTGAAGGTTTGACTCTTGATGTCAGCTGCGCTTGTTTACATTGGCCTGCCAAATCATTGTTGGCCTACGTCTTGATTTTATTTATCTAAATATTTTAGATTGCCTTCAAGCCATAAACAGCCTGAGGCAGTGTATAAAATTAAAACTAGTTAAACTGTATTGAGAAGTAAAGATAAAAGGAATAAAAAGAATGGGAAAAGTAGAACATCCATATCAGGATAGCCAACTAAATGTTACAGGCTCCCCCACTGTGCTGAAATGTTTATCATTTCTAAACATGAATCTACACCAGTGTTTCTCAACCTTGGCAACTTGAAGATGTCTGGACTTCAAGTCCCAGACTGGAATGCTGGCTGGGGAATTCTGGGACTTGAAGTCCAGACATCTTCAAGTTGCCAAGGTTGAGAAACACTGATCTATATGGACAATATATATTTATTCAAATTGGGAGCACCTATCTGTATTAGTTTTAAATGCTGCATTTGCACTCTCCCCCTTCCTCCCTCCCCCCTCTCTAATAGTGCATATTTATGCTTTTGTAGATAGATGGCATGCTTCTCTAGCTATTCAGCTATGCAGAGTGGTTCAAAAATTAATCTTAGTGGATGTATGATATCAAGATATATACTGTGATGCAGCAGTACATCTAAACTCTACATTGTTTAAAATGTGGTTGCCAGGACCTTTGCTCAATTTATATTCTGAGCCAGTGACACCCTTTCCCGGATAGGGAGTTTCTTCACTCTGTCACTTACTGATCTCCCATTTGGACTATTGAAATGTGATCTACATGGGACTATCTTTGAAAAGTATCCATAAGCTTTATCTTCTGGATATTTTTCAAAGGTAGCCCCATGTAAAGCACATTGCAGTAGTCCAAATGGGAGCAATTTTGGGTGCCCAAAGAACGGGACATGTGGTACCTCTACTGTGTAGCTGCATGGGGTGGCAGTCTGCTTCCGGGTCCTATTCAAGTTATTGGTGATGACCTTTAAAGCCTTACATGGCATGTAGCCATGTTATCTACAGAACCATCTTCGTCCCATTACATCAGCCTGTCGCACCCAGCCAGGCAGAGAAGGGATGTTGTGCCCCCTCCCCTTAATGGGGTGTTTGTGAAGGAAGAGAGCTTTCTCTACTGTTACCCCTGCCCCATGAAACACTCTTCCGCCTGAGGTGAGGCGGAACCTCCCTCTCCTGGCCTTCCAGAAAGGCATGAAGAAATGATTCTCCTGCGGCTCTCCTTGAGGCACTGAGAGGAATATGCAGCCATGGGCTGGTTAAGCACCCTGAAAGCTCTTCCATTCCTTTTCATTCCTTTTTAAAATAGCTTGCCCCGTATAAATTTTCTATACTGGGTGGTTTCTATACTGAGTGGTTCCAAATATAGACAGGCAGGCAGGCGGGCGGGCAGTTTGTTTATTTATTTATTTGTATTTAGCTATCTCCTTCCAAAATTGCATCCTCAGAATTACCCCCAAACCGCCCTATGATTACCAGGGAAAAGAGTGGAAGGGGTATTGCAAGTCCCACAAAAGGAGCTATAAGCCACAACTTCATCTGTTTATCAGTCAGATCCCAGATCTGTTGGTAGATGACAATGGTATTTGCTTTTATGGTTGTTTGTTGATTCCTCCATGCTGTGCTCTCTCAGCAGAAGAGAAGGGTTCTCCAGCTATCAAAGCTATTGTCTTCCTTTTAAGAAAGAAATGAAGCATTTTGATCGAAAGGTGCTAGCAGCAACATTTGTGTGTTGAAAAATAAGCAACTACTCAGCCAAGATTGCTCCAGATTTCATTAGGAAGATCAAAAGAAAATACCTCCTTCTGAGTCCAAAATTCTCACTGTAGCTTTTGTCCGAGTGCCAAGAACAGCATTCACAGGGGAGATCAGAGCCACTTCAAAGACCTCATCCTCTTCCTCTAATCCATCATAGGTAATTGCTATATTCCACATCTTGGTTGACATTCCTACCAGAAGTAAACATTTTAATTACACTTTAATTGCTTTTTCAATCAACCTAGGTGTCGAAGAAATATATTAATTAACATGTCTACAGCTATAACAGACTGGCTTGTATAATTCTATTGTGCTTCTGCCCATTGATTGGACTCCTGTGGCTTTCCGAAATAACACTAACTAGAGATCAAATTTTTTCCTAAGCACTGATGATTCCATTCAAATAGTAACAAAGATTGGTTTCCTACAGGGTAAATGGATGGGGGATAATAGCATGCAGTTCAGGAGGGGAGGATTGGCTCTTCATGTAAATTTTGAAAAAGAAATTAAGAGAACTCTTCATTTTGAAATCTTAATTGCAAGGAATCCAACTCGTGTTTTGAAATATTGTCATTTTCAATCACCCTTCACCAGGAGCTCTGTTCCAAGTTCCAGGTATATCTGTCAAAAAACCTTGAACCGGAGCCAGTATCTTGTTTGGAAAGTCCAAGTAATCTGTTCAGATGTAAGTAGAAATAAGTATCCCATGCACTACATATACACACATACACACATATATACCCTCAAAAAAATGTCTGAGAAAAACTAAAATGAATAAAGTTGCTACTACTACCAAAGCAAATTTGGAGATTTGGCCAGAAAGTCCAAAAAAATTTGAAAAGAAGAAATAAGTATTGCAATCTCTTAATTGCTTAATTGCTTTGGCTTAATGCAAACACTCAAAATATATTTGTAGATTCTCATCTAGAAAAAAGAACAGTGGAATTGTCAACAGGATAGCATAAGAATATGGAAAGCAAATTCTGATTGATGCCTTTAAAAAAAAAAAAACTTCCTAAGAGTAAGAGCAGCTTAATCGTGAACCCAAGTACTACAAAAAGGGTTTGGCTCTCATTGATTGGATTTGTCCAAACATTTGTCGAGGGCCTTGAGCTCTTGCAATGCTTAAGTGGTTGGACTGAATGGCCTAAATGACTCTTTTTGCACCTCTGTGCTTCTTAGGATTAATGATGGTGACCACAATTTTGGCCCAAGGACCAAGAACAATGCTTCCTTCTTCAGATTTTTAAGATCTCCTTCTTCTGATGGGATGTAAGTATTTGAGCTGCCGCTAACCCTGAGTTTCCCAAGGCTGCCATCATTGAATCAAAATGCTGATATTGTATGGAAATCCTGCAGATCAGTGTCAGCCCCCAAAAAGGAGTGTTTTAGAGTGTCAATGTTTTGACTAATATACTCCAACATTTATCTCCAATAGAGCAGTCCCAAGAGAGAAGGGATTTTCAGCTACTCTGTAACCATTTTTGCACACAGGCAAAAGAAAGGAAAGAAGTGTGTCTATACGTCTTTTCACATCGATTACTTTTATTGGGGGTTTCTGTTCTACTGTCAGGACGAGGTATATTTTAATGAACCTAATTGAAAATGACACACTTATTTATATGTAGTTATAAACACTTCTTTAAAGTTAAAATAATAACAATACAGCTGTGGTGGTGCAATGGTTAGAATGCAGGATTGCAGGCTGATTCTACTCATTGCTAGGAGTTCGATCCTGATTGGCTCAAGGTTGATTTAGCCTTCCATGCTCTCTCAGGTCAATAAAATGATGACCCAGATTGTTAGGGGCAATATGCTGACTCTGTAAACCACTTATAGTCTATAGTGTTATGGGGCGGTATATAAGTGTAAGTGCTATTGCTAATAGCAACAGTCATTTAAAAAAATCTGGTAATATTAAAATGAAGAAAAAAAAGCACTATTTATTATATCAATATTTAGTGATCTCCAAGGAAAATTCTAAAAAAGGTCCAAAACATTAGATAAGTTCATACAATAGCAAATGTTTCTTAAAATATGCTGGTCCTATTACTGTGGGTCTTTGAAAGGCTATGCCCTAATCTTTGAAGTCTGGAACAGAAGCCAGCTCAATTGTTGTGCAGTCATAAATATCTGGATCTTATCAGATAAACCAACTACAGACTTTTTTTAACTGCTGAACTTCTGAGCGATTTTCTGTCCATTATACAGTAATTAGCCACACGAAATGTTATCGGAGCATGAATCATCATGGACAGACTACCTTTGTCTGACAAATACCACAGATGACTTATCAATCTAAGCTTGAGTCACAGAATAAGTGCCCAAGGGCTCAAGTATACGAGTGTCATTGCAGCATCTGCTGTAGGGGTAAGAGGAGAGGGAAGGAACTGCGCATCATGATATGAAAAAAAAACCCCACTTTTGTATCAATTTCTTGCCTCAAGAACATAACTCTGCAATTTGTACAATGATTTCATGATGCACATGTTATAATTTTGACATCATTGTAGCTTGGAAATTTGCTTCCTAATTTAGACAAGGACACCAACCATCCATAGATTCTCTTCTCTGCCTGCTTTTGTTTTGATTTACATCTCTCCATCCATTGCCTTCTTTTATTTTTTTAATTAGATTTTTATCCTGCCTGTCTTACTTTTATACATAACTCAAGGTGATAACATAACCCAATACTCCTTCCTCCTATTTTCCCCACAACAACAACCTTGTGAGGTAAGTTGGGCTGAGAGAGTTATTGGCCGAAAGTTACCCTTTCATGCCTGAGACACGACTATAATTCTCAGCCTCCAGTTTTAGGCCATCACCTTAACCACTGATGGAAGCTCACCTGGATCAAACTGAATAAGTTTGGAAGGAGGAAGGATGAAATCCTTTCCTGATAAGGCAGTCATTTCGTTAACCTAAGAGAGAAAAACACAGCAATAAAATAGAAGCTCTGGGTCTTTTACCACAGATAGCCAGTCCAAGATATCTACCATTAGGGTTTAACTAATTGTCAGCTTCTGTGCCTGAAATGTAGCTAGCCCTCAGCAACCATCCAAGCTAATACACAAGGTGTTTCTAGTTTTAAATCCTTGAATAGGGACACAAGTGAAAGTAAAAGGAACAGCTATCTTTCACTACAGAGAATCAAATGAAGTGCAGTCAAATGAAAGGAAAGACTAAAGTAGAGCCAAAACAAACAAAAACAAGGAAATTTAAAGTACTGAGAATTCAATTTGTAAAGAATTATCCCTAGTGTATTTAAGTTTCTTCGGGGAGAGAAAAATGCATTTTACTTTGCGTTAAGGGCATGATTTCAAAAAAGACAGCTTTGGTAAATATGGTCTTCAATTCCCATAGTGATTGTGCTGGTACGGTTCTGTACAAGATAATATGCACAAGATGGAGGATTCATAAGTAATTATTAAGAAAGCCAACAGCAAAATATTGTTATGCAGTCTATAAAAATGTGGTTATTCCAATTAATAGCATGAACGAGACCTCTTGGCATAAAAAATGTATCAAAAACCCTTCTACCTAATTTCTGCCCTTGAAAATGTTTGCTCTAGTCTAGAGTGAAATCTGCATAGGGCGATATTTGCTGCAAGTTAAAGATTACGTTAACACACCAGGAGTTCCTGTATATAAATATACAAACTGAAAATCAGTTGTTTGTGCAGTGGAATTAAAAAGTGTCCGAGGGCAATTGTGGCCATGCAATCAAAGCCGCGTTCCTCTGAAGATGAATGTGAAGATATTGATGCACATACACAAAAGATGTAAGATTTGTATTGCAATTTGGTTAATAGACTCTACTCTCCCAAGAAATGAACACCTTTGTCAGGGTAATGATGATTTAAAGCTAACCAGCCAATGTAAGGCTGTAACTTAAGATGATGAAATCAGGATGAGTCAGCAGAGGTATTAAGAAGCTGGGTTATTGCTCCTTTAAGAAGCTGTCTATATAAGAGAGGCCATGTGAGGGTGCCTCTGTCTCCTCGGGTATCTCTCTCTTTGTGTATTCATAGTATGGTAGTTCTCTGTGTAGAGTTGGAGGTTTATTGCTTGCCTAGCTGTGCCTAGAAATGTGTTTGTGTGTGCGTGCGCGTGTGCGCATAGGTACGTATATGTATGTCCTATATGCCTTGTATATAGAAGTCTTGTATATAAACCACTGTTTGTAAGACAAACCTCGGTGTCCTCTATTTTGCTCCTGGGTTGTCTCAAAATAGTAGTCACAGTGCATGCACTGTGACAACCTTGATGTGGTGGCAGCAGTGAGTTACTTCAGTGATCCTAACACAAATGCAAGCAGAAGGAGTAGGTTGTGGTAGGGTCACTCTTTCCAATGTTAAAAAAGAAGGGCGGAATCTAAGAGTAATATACAGTGGAGTAAAGATGATGTGGGGCACCAAACCTCCTGACACAAAGAACATGAAACTTAAGTGCAGATGAATGCAATGGCCAAGCACGTCTGCATTATGCAAAAATAGATATGAACTATATGGGTATGACTGAAGATGAGAGTCTCAGGTTAAAGGAGGAGATGAAATGAACACACAAAATGAAATGAACACACAAAACCACAAGGTAATCTAGTCACTGATGATAGCAGTATTAAAATCATCAGCATGCATCTGAAATGTAATATATTGGATGTTTTAGGAATAAGTGCAGGTCTAAAGTGAGTACTTTAAATCAGATCTTACCTTGTATATGTGATAGTAATATGGATACTGCAAAAGGGAATTGCTAGGTATGTGCTTGGCTATAATCCAATCATGAAAATATATACTAGAATGAGTGGATTTCCATGAACATCTATGTTATAGAAATATAAGTAGCTATTCCAATGCAACAAAAAAAAAGGCTCTGAGGAATTCTATGGCAAATTCAAGAGAGGTTAGAAGCAAAATAGGAAAAAAGGATATAGCACTAATAACTGATGGTTTAAACGTAAAAGTTGGTATTTTTGGACTTCAACTCCCAGAATTCCCTAGCCAGCAAACATATTCTTAATTTCCATGTCTGTAATTTGAGTGTCCTAAATACAATTGTCCTTTGTGATGAATTACCTTCATTGCCACAAAAGCAGAATCTCCCTTGTATCCTGATCGGGTGATTTTTAAAGATAGCATCTCCTCATTTTCACACATTTCATACACATCCTTCTGCAGTTCAATTTTAGACCATTTTAGTTCTAACCTATTGGAATAGAGAGGAAGAAAACACAACAAGGAATTCTCATAAAAATCTCCCTCCCCCCCCCCAAAAAAAATCCCTGGTTTGTCTCTTTGTTGTTAATGGAAATTTATTTTTTTAGCTGTTTGTCATAGTTGTAAAGAGAAGAGTTGTTTCAAGAGAGGTAAGCAGTTGATCTGATCAAAATTAAGCCTCACTTGTGTTTTTATCTGTAGTTTTATACCTGGGTCACACTATGTAGAAAGCAAGAGAGCATTTGCATGGACTGATGACAGCTATTTCTAAGATTTTTTCAAATTATTTAATGTACATGCAAATAGAAATGATTTGATCTCTGGCTTGCAAGTTTATATATGTAGTAGGACATAGGAACAAGCTAGAAGGCATCCCCAAATCTGGTGTTAGTTTGACAGATATTGAAAAAGGCAAACAGGCAAAGGTTCAATGATCATAACAGAGCAAAATGAAGTCAGCTTGGTATAGTGGTAAAGGTGATGGTCTAGAAACTAGGAGACTGTGGAGAGGGAGGGAGAGGGAGGGCGGGAGTCTCCCTTGTCCATTCTACATCTAGGAAATTGGAGGATTTCAGAAATTCAGTGGGAAAGTACCAGAGGTGGTATTCAGCAGGTTCTGACCAGTTCTGGAGAACTGGTAGCGGAAATTTTAGGTAGTTCAGAGAACCGGTAAATACCATGACTGACTGACCCCGGACACATCTATTCTCTGCCTCCCGAGTCCCAGCTGATTGGGAGGGAATGGGGATTTTGCAGTAACCTTCCCCTACAATTCCCACCAAGTCCACCAAGCCACGCCCACAGAATTGATAGTAAAAAATTTTGAATCCCACCACTGGAAAGTACACAGTACCTTCTATTTAAAAATAAATATAATTAATGCTGGAAAAGAGGTATAACAGCACTGAAGCAACTGTTATTATTCCATATGTTCCTTTTTGCGCTCAAAACTGAAATAGCAAAGAAATACACAGCAGAGAGGTTTCAGTTAAAATTTTGTTATTTTCTCCCTCCAGGGAATCTGTTCCAATTATATTAAAAGTAACACCCTACAGAGCTTTTCCCATACTATTTTAAACTTTAACAAGCCACAAAAAGAACAATGAAAGAAAGCTAGTCACACTAGGCAGGATTTTAAAAAGAGTCTGCTACTTTTTATTGAAATAATATAGGCTTTGTGGAATTCTACTGCTTGCTTTATCTGATGCACGGAGTGGCTAAAACTGAACTACATCCATTTAATCACTCTGTGCATTCGATGAAGTGAGCTATAGATTCAAACAACGTTACAGGTCTACCTCTTGTCTATCACTGCTGCTGTAAGTAGCAGAATGCAAATGGGGTACCTTTAAATGACACTGGTACATTTCCAAAATATACTGTTTCTACCTTCGGAGACATCATTTTATGCGGTATGCAGATTTTAGTGCTAGATAAAAGACAGAGCATGTGCTGACAGCTGTTATTGAAACACTGTTGAGAAAAAGGTCAGGTTTTGGGGAAGCTTTCAAAATATAATTACACTCTTGTCATTTTGAAAAATCTTACTAAGGATTGTTGCATAGATTTGCGACATGTTAATATCCCAGAACTAGAGTGACCTCTAGCTGTCAGAAAAGCACATCAAAAGGTACGTTTCCTCATTTCCAAATGAAAGTTTACTTTAGTGAGTAATTTATAGCAAAATTTCCCCTCACAAGTAGAAACTCTTTTTATCAGTGTGATCATTAATGTTGTGCTGTCCTGCATCACAATGAGCATAATGCCTGTCAATCCTTCACCAAAAAAACAGACTGAAAAAATGTGTGTACTTTTTGGCAGTTCAATGCATATTTATGAGAGAAAGAGATTATTGCCTTGAGTTCAGGCGATGAATTGTCCTGAGAGCTCCTACAATTGGGGTGAAAGAGACACACACAGATGCACACACACACACGCTTTCAACCCTACAAATTGAGGAAGGAAGAGGCCTTATGCCACTCAGAAGCACTTGCAACACAGAAGCTGCAGCAGAATTTCCTGAAGAAAAGCTGAGAAAATAAAGTTCAAGTGCATTCCTGTCTCTATGCCGTAGCCAATCAAAATGCAGAGGGTTGTCTATAACAAAACACAGGAGACAAACGGAAGAACAATACTTGAGTGGCATAACCTGGAAAACTCTGCTTTCAACTCAGACCATAAAATATAGATGAAGGTCTCATTCTCAGTTGGCAGGAATTGAATAGAAAGCAATATTTATTCCTGTCAACCAGTGGTGAGATTTTTTTTACTACCGGTTTTGTGAGCATGGCTGGGTGGGCAGGGCGTGGCTTGGTGGGTGTGGCAGGTGAAGAATACTGTAAAATCTCCCTTCCCTCCAGATCAGCTGGAACTCTGGAGGCAGAGAATAGATGGGAGCGGGACCAGTCAGAGATGGTATTTACCGGTTCTCCAGAACTGGTAAGAACCTGCTGAATACCACTTCTGCTGTCAACCCAGAAGCTGTTGGTGGTCAATACTCATTATCTGGGGGTCACCTAGCAGGGCAGATACACCCTTATCTGTGCAATAGGAACTTCTCAGCCTAAATTTCACCTCTGCCTGGAGATCTTGAACAAGGCAATTTCTTAGCTTTGCCTAAGAATAATGATTAAGTTCATATATCCCATTAAGCCATAAACCCAACTGCTAGATTCACATTGTATTAAGCCAAACCAAGTTAACAACATTATGCTTTAATACAGTGGGAAAACCCAGGCAAAGAATATGGGTGCACTGTGAAATCTAAATGGATTTGAAGTATTACTATCATTTAAGAGTCAACATGGCAGCAATTTCCTGGACAAAAAGCTTTCTTTCAATAAGACGACGACAGGACAGCGACAGATTTTTTTTTAAAGGTACTGCTTTAGTAGTAGATTTTGCAGTATAAACCCATAAGGCCCAAAAATTCCATTAGTTTCGTTTCAAATCTGTTCATACAGGATATGACAAGGAAGCAAGCAGCAATTATTGGGAATGATATAAGCAGGGGTGAAATTCAGCCGGTTTTGACAGGTTCTGGAGAACTGGTAGTAGAAATTTTGAGTAGTTCGGAAAACCAGGAAATACTACCTGGCTGGTCCCAGAGTGAGGAGGGAATGGGGATTTTGCAGTCTTCTTCCCCTGCCACACCCACCAAGCCATGCCCACAGAACCAATAGTAAAAAAAATGAATTTCACCACTGGATATAAGCATTTAGAGAAAGGAAATCTTAACTTACATTTGTGGGAGGGCAGAATGTCCTTCAGGATCCATAACCTGAAATTCCAGATCATCTGAATTCTCCTCCCAGTAAGGATCAACGACATAAAATATTATTTTGCTATTTAAATCTTTCTGGCTGAATTGTTCTTGAATAATTTCTCCTGATAAAATAAAGAAGATTATAGAGAAATCAAAGTGTTCTTTAAAAACAGTTGTCCATATTTATCTAGACTAGGGGTTTTCAAACAGTTTTGAGTTGTGGAAATTGCTAGTTAAAAGACAAAAATCAAAACAAATTCCAGAAACCATGATCAAAAGACCAGTGGTGGGATTCAGCCAGTTCGCACCTATTTGGGAGAACCAGTTCTTAACTTTCTAAGAGGTTCAGAGAACCGGTTGTTGGAAGAAATCTTCTTTTGTTTTTTTTCCACTTTACAGGGCTAATCCTGTAAGGAAGGCAGGAAGGAAACATTCTGGTGTTGTTTCTAGCTTAATCTTTATTGCCCAGCTTACAGAAACTGCCTCTTTATTGCCCAGCTTACAGAAACTGCCTCTT